ATTATTATTATTATCTTACCGTCTTGTCTATCAGGAGAGATAACCACTTCAGTAGTGTTATACTGACTGTTCACGTGACTACCCTTGTATGACATCAGCTCAACAATGAACTTTTCCTCTTCCTCGTATAACGTATCGTCTATGATCACAACCGGGCAGAGCTTTCGTACTTCTCCCTGTCAACATACAAAACATTCTAAGTTTACTTTGATTGATAYGTTTGTGTCGGGTTTGGAAATCGCGTCTGCAAGTGGAGATGACTAGCAATACGCAGTAAAAAATGGTTCGTGGTCAAAGTCAGCCATTGTGTAAGCACGTACTCGTGGACGGAGGGCTGCGCTGTAACTGTGACGGTATTGTGTTGATGCTTATACCGGATTGGTTCAGTGGATGTGWTCAGTTCCATACCGTGTCCATGTAATGCGTCTTAATATTTTCACAGTTGTACGAGAACTACTCGTGTTTTTAAAAAAAAATCTATTGTACAATGAATWTTGATTTACCTTTTCTAGAGTTATGAGACTGTCTTGTTCGTCTTCTCGGACGATGAAGTCAGAATAAGAAAGAACGCTGGTCGGGAAACTACCTATAGCCCAACCTAGAGAGAAATAAAACAGTTGAACTTAGTAAAAAGACCCYTATACCTTGGGTGTAATGTTTGCCCATTTCAGACCACGTGGCATTCTCTWGAGTATCTATTTTTAACGGTTGCGTAGGAGAAAACACATATTACTCTTCATCATATCATCTTATACTCAAGAGAATGACACGTGATCTGAAATAGGTAAACACTGCGCTAAAAGTAAATAGATCTATGAAATAATTTAGATTGGCTGCCTTCTGATATAAGCCTACCTGGTTCGTTCTTATAGCGAGTAACACACAAAACTTGAAGGCTTGTTGACGAGTCACCAGTCCTTCTCAACTCCACATTCATTCGTCCCACTCCTTCCTGGACCACGCGATGAGGAGTGACCATCTCAAGCATGGGTACTAAAATGAAATTAAATAGATGCAAATACATGGAACAGTCAGCCAAGGAAAGAGAAAATAAATAAAAACAGAGAAAAGGAAATAAAGCAAAAATAAAGAAGAGAAGGGAAGAGGAGAGGAGAGGAGTTATACTCACAGTCTTCAGGATCTTCTATAGTGACCAGTGTCGTATTCCTAGCTCCTATGACACATCCCCTTGGACTAGTAAGCTGCAAGCTTAGCKTCTCGTTAGCTTCATACTTCCTGTCGTCAATAATACGCAGCTTCCACATGACCTTATTTTGTCCCGGACTGAACTGCACATTCGTCGTCGAGGCAGAAAAATCTTCGCGCAGGTCAGCAGTGTTCCCTATCATTGCCATGCGCAAAAATGAGGAATCTCCGAGAAAGCCTTCGCGCTGTAAGGTGACAACGAGCGACTCTTCTGTCTCTTTGACTTTGTAGGAATCAATGGTGAAAGAAACTCGCGCCCAAACGATACTAAACTGTTGTCGTGGAAGAGTATTCCCGGCAGGGTCGATCACCGAAAATGTGAACACATCTGACGTGACGTTTAGGCCAGGATACAAGACATATCTTATCCTCAAAGAATCAATATCGTGTTGAGTGAATGTATCTAAGCTTGTATTAGTCGAGAGCGAAGTAGTCAGGAATCCATTCAGAGGATGATCATCAATACTATAAATCAAAGCTGAATTGTTACTGTCGCGGTCCTCTGACTTTAAAATAGTGTTGTCCAAGACAAAACCCAGTGTACCTYGTTTAAGCACCTGTAGATCTGTGACGCCCCGGTTATGGATCAATAAGGGTGGTCTATTATCCACTGCGGTGATTTCAATCTCCATTTCAAAGGGCTTACTGCGCGATAGCTTTGTATTTGGTGACAGATAGAACTCTTTATGACTTCCATCGCTAAGAGACACAAAGAAACTATCCTTGGTAGTCTCAGTTCCATCGTGAAGATACGTGATAAATCCTTTATTCACGTCCGATTGTGAAAACTCCCTCACGCTAATACCACTTTTGTACAGTTTTCCGTGAAGTGGTACGCGCGTCACCGTGAAAACCAAAGACTCAGGTGTCGTGTCTCTATCCTCTGCGCGCAGTTCAAACGGACTAACAGCAACGCTGCTTCCTTCTTTGACTCTCAACGTATTACRAAATGCGACTGGTTTCTTGTTATTAACATCGATAATTGAAATCAAAAAYCTTCTTGTTATGGTCGTACTAGATCCATCAGTGACTTCGAAATCAAAGCTGTCGCCAGCGCTCTCCTCATCACTGGTATGGACGTACAAGAGCTTGTTAGACGCGATGTCTTTCTGAGTAAACGACGTTACAGAGACTCCAGGTGCGTCGCTGAGCTCTAAATGCCCCTCCGAGGGAACTTTCGTCACCGTATAGCGCAACCGTGTGTTATCGCTCCCTATGTCATGCGCAGAAAGGAAATCTGTTGTTATGGTAACGCGAGTGCCTTGTCTTAGACGAGCTCCTTCGTTGATTACAGTCGGGGGTGTTCGATCATCGGCTTTGATGAAGACATAAAATACCTGATGAAGAAGATTATTCAGACCGTCAGTGACGTCGAAGTACATCTCATCTCTAGGAGTAGGTATGCCYTTAATATGCGTATAAATCACTAGACGTCTATTGATATCCAGTTGCGTGAAAACATCTCCTTGCGTCAGATTACGAATCGACCCATCTTCGCGCAACATCTGCAAGAACCCAGCTCCAGGAACAGCGCGCACGACAAAAGTAATATTTTCATCCGTAGAATCGATATCAGTGGCTTTTAGATTTTGTGAAGTGATGAGATMACTCTCCCCAACCGCCGCAAGTTGTAACCCCTTGTTCACCTCCAATCTCGGATGTTCATCATCAACTGGCACGATTTTTATCGGTACTGTCTGCGTCGTATTATGAACACCGTCCGACACAGCCAACGTCAAAGAATCCTCCAAAGTCTCGCTACCATCATGCTGGTAGACAACAGACGTCGATTTTCTTATTTGCGTCAGGGTGAACTTATCCACTGGAATGTTTCCTTCGATGCGCGTGTCTGTGATGATGCCATGTTTAGGAGCATTAATGACGTAGAACATGAGTTCATCGAGAGGTGCGTCGCCATCCATGGCGTTAAGTAACGTTACATCGATTACTAGTTCAGCACCTTCGTTGACTACGAAATCCCGGTAATAWAGATGTGGAGCCTAGAATCGAAAACAGATTGATTGTAGGAGACGTTAGATGAGTAAAAAACTTGGCATTGAAATTTGTTTTTAAAAGCTGTGTGTTCGTTACCAAGATAGAGTGAAGTTATCAAACCCATGAAATAGATATTAGCCTAATACACTTTAGTAGACCCTAATTCCATTGTCTTCTTTTGTGTCTATTTGACTTTTACACGTTGACTAGTATTTTTTATTTCACGGGTTAAATACCTTCACTCCATCATTATGATTTTCTAAAATATCCTTTAAATTTTGAATAGAGAACATATTTTGATCTGTTAAGGAAATTAGTTTTTRAGTTTTTATAGATATTATTTAATGATTAAAAATAACCAGGGCCATACTTCCAGACATCGAGTGCTGAACCGTCGTATGGCATTACGGCTACGCCGGAGATTTCGACCCCGACACCGCAATCCCGGGAGGAATTACAGACTGACCAGGAAGTTTACGAATGTAAGAGCTATTAATGAGTTTGTTTGTCATTCTTGTGGGCCACAACAGACGAGGTAGCCAAGATAGTGCGCCACCCCATCAGTCAAACCTGCAGCCGTTGGGACTTATCAGAACATCAAAAGTCAGTCCAAGTKAKCTGACTGTTGAGGACATTCAACAGGGATAACSTGAAACGACATCTTTTCTTTTCTTGGACAAATTACTAGCTTCAATCAGTGTTTCGATGATATTTGCAGAAAATAAAGTTTTCAAAAGTTTTTTATTTACTCCACTAACTGAAAGCGATTTTTATTATCATTATTTATTACAAATAACCGAAGACCATACTCCCAGACCCGAATGCTGAAGCGTCGTATGGCAGCGCGAAGCATTTACGGCTACGCCAGAGATTTCGACCCCGACACCGCTATCCCCGGGAGGACTTACAGACTGATCAGGAAGCTCAGCAAAAGCCTATGGGAGAGGTTAGTCTGCCTCTAGACCGTAAATGATTAACCCCTTGCTATGACCAGMATACCTAAACTGTASTTTGTGTCGCTGCTGACTATGTGCGCATGGTCACTTTATTCCATGTGGGATGCGTTTTGAACAAATAACTCAACATACCTCGTCATTCTTTGGTAARATAATAATGTTCAACAGATATCGAGATGACGTGTTGTTGGTATCCATGCACGAGAACGCCATCCAATCAATACGTGGCTCGCTTCCCTCGTGTTTACTCTGTACATAATTAACATTCCCTTGCTTGATGTCTTGCGCAGTGAACGATGTTATTCTCTTACCAACGTTACTGATCTCAGACCCTGGTGACGGCAACACGTTCTCRAAAAAMCCCGACGTTGGTTGCACRTCAATCATACATRTGACGTCAGTGTCACGTGTGTCGGCGTCGGTGATAGTCACGTGTTGTAGCGAGAGTYGTGTCTTTTCTCCTTCGCGTAACGTCATTGGTCGTTGGATTGTTACTTGTGGTGCCTGATTATCGACTGGGACGATCAGCGTCATCACCTCAAGTGCTGTGACCAGAAAAAAAATAATAAATAAGCGTTAACCGTGTGTTGRASCYCAAGTCTCAAGTTGTTTTGACATGCGCGTTCAAAGTGYCTTTCTTCTGGGCAGCTGTACTCAAACAATTTACTCAATAATTATGATGTCAATACTCCAGTTTCGAGTCTCTRTTGCTCAGGGTTAGCCTCGATTTTGYGCAGAATGTTAGGTATGTGTTCCAGAGAAAGTCCTTAGAATTTCAAAGTGTTCGTAAAGTGTTTGTTTTCWAAGTGCATTCTCTACTTTASCGTTGGYATTTGTAATATTTAGAATCTGATACAAGTCTAAGCCTGAGTAATTGAGTCTGTAATCAAGGAACACAGCGGTAATTTGAAACTCAAAAATGGTCTATTACATACAAATGACGCTGAAATGTTTCTTAAGAAAACAGCGACTCAACAGCCAAGAGACGTATAATGAATAATTACTGACCTCGGTACAGCCTGCCTTCCATGACGAGCGACTTGTTAACAAAAGCAAGATCAAAATRATCCTCATCACCATCTATCCCAGTCTCCTGACCGATATGTTCATAGCTTACCAGTCCCTTCATCACATCCTGCACGCGAAAYTCTTCACTTGTGACTTCATTGAGCAAAATCCTACCCACACGGGGAGGGTTGGTCACACGAAGTGAMGAGTCGTTGTCCTTTGATGTGGCTRCYTCTTCTAGRCAGTGTGGAAGCTTGAGGATTTCTTTKGAACGCTCTTTGACTTTAATGGTGACATTCAGTGCCACGGTGGACAGGTTTTGGGGTTTTGGGGTGATGACTAGGGAGCAAAAAAAAACTTTGGATTAGTTAAATATTAG